AACGCTAACGTTAGCATCGGCGATCTTCTCTACTTCATGCTATCTGCACAAATGGTTGACATTAAACATTAAAACGACCAGGCAGTTCAGAGAGAATCAATGGAAGGCAGGCAGGCAGCTTTGCATGACATTTTTCAGAACGTGTTTCATTGTGGTGATAGTGAGGATAGTCAATCGTTTTGTTGACAAGACAGTAGTGACGGCCATCTTGGTTCAAGGTTCAAGGTTCAAGGTTCTTTATTGTCAATCTGACATAGCTACAGAGTAATTATGCAGTTGAAAATCTTATGTCACAGGCTTCTCCAACAATGCAACATAATAACATAATAACAATAAGAGCATGAGCAATACAAAAATAATAATAGTTATAAAAATGAAATAAAGTTATGATGTGGAATAGTGCAGTATGAGTCTATATACAAGTTATTGGAATGATATATATATATTAGGTATTAGATACATACTACTGAGTAGCAGTTGAATGTTTGAAGTTGTTTCAACAGTTCCATTTTTTAACAGTCTCACTGCCCGCGGGAAGAAACTGTCTCCGAATCTTCTTGTCCTTGCCAGGATGCTGCGGTAACGTCTGCCAGACGGCAACAGAAAGAACAGTTTGTGGCTGGGGTGATGGGGGTCTTTGATAATCCGTAGTGATTTCTTCCTGAGCCGCTGGGAGTAAAGGTCCTCCATGGATGGCAGCTCCGTCCTGGTGATGTGCTGTGCAGTTTTCACCACCCTCTGTAAAGCCTTACGATCGAGGTCGGTGCAGCTGCCGTACCAGGCCGTCATGCTGCCAGTGAGGATACTCTCTATCGTGCACCTGTAGAAGTTGCAGAGTATCCTGGAATCCATTTTGAACCTCCTCAACCTGCGGAGGAAGAAGAGCCGCTGTCGAGCTTTCTTGGTGATGGTGGTGGTGTGAAGAGACCATGTCAGGTCCTCAGTGATGTGGACCCCAAGGAACCTGAAGCTTTTGACTCTCTCCACCGTAGTCCCATTGATGGCGATGGGGGCGTGTCCCTCTCCCTGCTGCTTCCTGTAGTCCACAATCAGCTCCTTTGTTTTGCTGATGTTGAGATGGAGGTTGTTCTCCTGGCACCAAGATGTCAGGTTTTCGACCTCCTCTCTGTACGCCGTCTCGTCATCGTCTGTGATCTGGCCGATGACGGTCGTGTCATCAGCAAACTTCACGATGGTGTTGGAGCTGTGTGTGGCCACGCAGTCGTGGGTGAACAGGGAGTAGAGGAGAGGGCTGAGCACGCAGCCTTGAGGGGCACCGGTGTTGAGAATCAGGGTGGAGGATGTGATATTTCCCACCCGCACTGCCTGGGGTCTGCCCGTCAGGAAGTTCAGGATCCAGTCACAGAGGGCGCTGTTGAGCCCGAGGTCTCTGAGCTTGATGGCCAGCTTGGAGGGCACAATGGTGTTGAATGCTGAACTGTAGTCAATGAACAGCATTCTCACATATGTGTTCCTGTTCTTCGGGTCCAGGTGTGAGAGGGCAGTGTGGAGGGTGAGGGCTATGGCGTCGTCTGTGGACCTGTTTGCTCTGTAGGCAAACTGCAGGGGGTCCAGAGATTCAGGGAGGGAGGAGGTGATGAATAATTTGACTAACCGCTCAAAGCACTTCATTATGATGGAGGTGAGTGCTACTGGGCGGTAGTCGTTGGGGCAGGTGATGATTGTCTTTTTGGGGACAGGAATGATGGTGGAGTGTTTAAGACATGTGGGGACTACAGACTGCAGCAGGGACCTGTTGAAGATGTCTGTGAACACCTCTGCCAGCTGAACTGCACACACCCTGAGAACACGGCCAGGGATGCCATCAGGTCCAGGAGCCTTGTGTGGGTTAACCCTTTTAAAGGATTTACACACATCTGCCCTATTTAAAACAAAAGGGCAGTGTAGCTCCTGGTCCCTCTGTACCTCCACAGCCTGGCTGCTCTCAAAGCGTGCAAAAAAACTGTTTAGCTCATCTGGGAGAGATGCGCACGCAGACACTCCCGCAGCACCCCCCGCTGCTCCTTTGTAGTCAGTCATTGTCCTTAGTCCCGCCCACATATTCCTAGTGTTACAGCCTTTGAAGTCAGATTCCACCTTGTCTTTGTACTGTCTCTTTGCATTTTTAATTGCTCTCCGGAGATCATACCTAGACTTCCTGTACTCCTCCAAATCTCCCGCTGTGTGCGCGAGAGTGCGCGCTTTCAGTTTGCCGCGCACCTCACCGTTTACCCAGGGCTTTTGATTTGGGAATGTCCGTACAGAAACCTTCGGTACCACGTCATCGATGCATTTCCCAATGTAGCAGATGACAGTGTCCGTGTGTGTGTTGATGTTATTGTCCTCAAACACACTCCAATCCGTAGATGCAAAGCAATCCTGCAGTGCTGAATCTGACTCCTCGCTCCATCGTTGTACTGTCCTTGTTATCGGTCTGTCCTTTTTAAGTTTCTGCTTGTAAGTTTTTAAGTCCTTGTGACATGATGTGTCTACCAGAGACGTGTCCTTGTGACGTGTGTTGTTGACCAGAGACGTAGTTCATTGAGCGTTTCACACAAACAAATGTGTTACTTCACAGTTTTACGACACATTTTTTTTTTTTTTGACTTGCAAAATTATCTTTTAAATTGACAAACATCATATGTGTAATTCGTGGCACAATTCAAACGGGATCAAAAGATAATCTTTCTCTCTCCATTGACTTCAATACATTATTTTTCCGAAATAAGGTCCCATGGAGGTCCACCAGAAGGGGAGGGACTTCGCCACTCTATTGGGACGTCCTTCAACATGGCGTGTCTTGATCGATATCCGGGTCAAGTCCCAGAGGAGGGGAAGAGAGGAGTCGAGGAGGGGTATTGAGATGAGGCTCTTGCGTCTCTCCATGCTTCCCTGGTGGGAGGGACTAAACGCAGGGAAACGACGCAAGTGAGGGACGCAAGGATTTAATTTAACCGAAGTGAGATGCAGCCTATAGCTCCTCCAGAGAGCCTCCTCGGCGCTCGATCCTCGGTCCTCGATGTGCATTTAGAGAAATTAGATGTCCTTCAACATGGCGCGCCGAAAACCATTTCTGGGTCACTACCGGAGGACCGAGGATTTGAGGAGGGGAAATTAGAGAAATAAGAAAGGCCCTGTGTGTGTGTGTTCGCTCGGTGTGTTTGTGTGTGTCCGACACCGGCATTTGTTTTCAAATTACCATGAACAGTAATTTACACACATCTGGCCAACTCCATAGGTATATGTGTGTGTTCGCAAATGAAATAAATGTGTTTAATCTTAATCTCAATGTAGTGCTCAGTGCTGTCGGAGTGCACCGGAACACTGCAGTCAACTACTCACCCGTCTCTCGCGTTTGCTTGGTCAAATCAGCAGCTCTTCATTTTTGAGTGTGCGATTAATCGCGCCTTTACGTGAATCGACCGAGAAGCGGCACTGACGCTAGTACAAGAGTAAAATATGTTTTACCATAAGTTCTTAATAAAACTGACACTGTTGGACTCAGTACTTGTTTGACTGCTACCAACAATAAAATGAAGTACTTTTACTGTGTACTTTTTTTCTCTCTGTCAAAGTCCCCTCCTGAGAACAAATTCAAGCCACTTCTGCTATATTTGATGAGGGATAAAATGATTTTTAGCCATAAGTTCTTAATAAAATTGGTACTGTTGGACTCAGTACTTGTTAGACTACAACCACAAATACAATGAAGTACTTTACTGTGTACTTTTTGAGTAATACTCTGTCAAACTCCCCTCCTGAGTACAATCATTCATGTATTCTGCTATATTTGATGAGGGATAAAATGATTTGTTACCACAAGTTCTACATGAAATTGATACTGTTGGACTCAGTAATCAATAATTCATAGTTCATACATGGATTATTGTACTCAGGACGGGAGTTTTACCGAGTATTAATCAAAAAGTACACAGTAAAAGTACCTCATTGTATTTGTGGTAGTAGTCTAACAAGTACTGAGTCCAACAGTACCAATTTTATTAAGAACTTGTGGCTAGAAATCATTTTATCTCTCATCAAATATAGTAGAAGTGGCATGATTTTGTTCTCAGGAGGGGACTTTGAGAGAGTATTACCCAAAAAGTACACAGTAAAAGTACTTCATTTTATTGTAGCAGTCAAACTAGGACTGAGTCAAACAGTGTCAGTTTTATTAAGAACTTATGGTAGGCTACAAATTATTTGTATCGCAAATAAAGCAGAAAAAACATGTATTACTCTTGTACTAGCGTCAGTGCCGCTCGGCCATAAACACACTCGTACCGTCCACAGGTACCGGCGGTCTATCCGCCAAAACAAACTTAAGTTTGTGTCAATCACTTGCACGTCACTTGTGGTATGATGGGCATTCCCTTTCCGGTTTGATTCTCTAGTTTGTTAAAGTGTTTCGGCAAATGTTAAATTGTTTCGAGACTTGTACATTTGTCTCAGTTCTTGTAAAAGTGTTTCGCTAATGTAATTTTGTTTTTATAAAATGTAATTTTGTTTTATAAAATGTAAATTTGTCTCTAGCTTTGTAAAAGTGTTTCGCATTTTGTTAATGTTAAATTGTTTTTTCTTTGGTAAAAGTGTTTTGCTAATGTAAATTTGTTTTATAAAATGTAAATTTGTCTCAAGCTTTGTTAAAGTGTTTCCCACTTTGTAATTGTCGTTTGCACTTCTCAGCCACCGTAATATTGCACAGAATAATGATATTAAACAGATTATGGGTATCATCATCTGGATGAACACATAACTTTAAGGTTGAAAGAGAAAACTGAATTTGTAATATGAAACAAAAGTGAAAGAAATACAATTACTCTAATTTCACTTTTGAAATGTATTTCTTTCATGCTTGTTTGAAATATAGTACTTACATAACGGTATTAACAAATCCCTTATCCAGTTTAAATTCTACATTCTCTAGTTTCTTCAGCATAAATTAAAAAGCTTTGACACATCAACTACAGTTCGTAAATAAACATCTTGTACGCAACACAGTAGTTCAAAATATGGGCTTTTATTCAACCTTTAACTAAACAGGTTCAGAAGTAACATGTCAACCTATATAATCATGTATAAAAATGTAATAAGAAGAATCTCAAGTGACAAAGCAGACGTGACATGAATGTTCTTTGGCTAAAGAAGCCTGCTGGAAGCCAGTGGTAGCAACACGAGAGCAGAGACTGTATACGTTTCTTTAAACAGTCTGTGGCTGAGACACTGGCTGAACAGAGGAGAAGCTCCACATGCACCGACTACATCCGTACAAAAAAGAGGTATAAATGTCAAAAAGCTCTGTCCATGTTAACAAAAAATATCTCAAAATAGAGACAGCTTAACTGAATATGAACCTCATGAAATGACATACAGCATGTTAGTTTTCCAGTGATTGTTTTGTGACTCTGATTAAACAAGCAGAAAAAAGCTAAGAAAGAAAAAGATGACATACATACGGTCCAACGTATTGTTACAAATGGAGGAGCTGATGTAAAAACACTGATCAACAATACAGAGTGAATATTTCCCCATTGCGATGCAAATGCAGGCTTTTGCAATACAGTATAGCTTTTGGGCACATCCTGAGTGTATAAATTAGTAGGTGAATTTAAATGTAAAAATCCGTAACAATAATGCACCTCTTTGTATGGTTCTATGTTTATCCAGGACTAACTTGCATAGGCAGCACAAAACAAACCACTTCTGAACTCTAGGTTTTGGAGCTGGGTGAACATTCTTGATATGCAGCCATTTATTAATTTATTAAAAAAGGAGGAGAAAAACTAAATAGGTCCTTAAATATTTCAGTCAACAATCATTTGAATCAATATCAAAATGTTTTAAGGTTACGCAGTTAAACTAAGGCAGTGGAGCTTCTCAAAAAATAAATCTTATAACAAAGTATTTACTCAAAGCCCTCTGGGTTTTGGCCACCATTTATGCACAGAATCTTATATTTAAATTTTAACTGGGAGATTCAACCAACATCAAAAAGGGATTTCAAGAGCTTTACCGTGGATAAAATGATGAGGCATTGCAGCTCAAATGAGCAGTTCAAAATGAGATAACAGACTATGATTCTATATGCAATCTGTACTTTGAAATGAGGAAAATGCTGAATGGAAATAAAAGCATATGCGAAAACACAAGAGGAAATAGGTAATAATAAATGTAGTATAATTCTATATAAAATAAAACGTTTGCAGCAGCACATGTCTTGTGTATTGAGCTCTTCCTGAACACTTTGCAAAACACAACTGAAGGCCCAAAGAAACAAGTCGCTACTCGTACTCGTTGCCGCGACTACAGGAGGGGATGCTGTTGTAAGGGAACACGTTTTTATTTACCCAAATGGTAAGAAAATAAATGTTAACCATCAAATATAATTGTTCATTTCTTGTTTGCAGTAGTAAAGTGTGAAAAGTGTCCCCTCTTCCTCCAAGATGAACCTTTAAACGAGTGATTAACTACATTCTGGCAAAAAAACATAGTTGATACTGAACTGGTATGGAAATGGAGAGCATATAACTGGATTTGAAATTAAGTACAATAACGATTCACTGAAAGCCTGCAAGGTGCAGTGCACTGATCAATTATTTTGGACTGAATAAATGGGGGACGCTGTAAACTTTCAAATGTGATGTAATGACAGTACCCTGACTCGAACCTAGAATTGTAACCTTTAAACACATGTTGAAATGTGCACTGAACCAGTAGGCAGTTAGCTCAACTTGCTCCCGTCTAAACTAAACAAAGGCATTTATCAGTTAATGCTCTGAATACAGGCTGTGTGCACATGTCCTTAGCACAGCTGATCCCTCCTGCAGGCACTGGTCAGAGGAGAGATGCTGAAGTCTAGGAGGCGGTGACTCCTTCCCACTCCACCAGGTACTGCACCTTTCCATCCAGGGTGACCCGGCGTGCCAGGACTTTGTATTTCTCCCCACAGGCCAGCCGCCCCGCGGCTCCAAAGTAGCTGCTGATGGAGCTCTTCAGGTGGGTCAGCTGGCTGTTGGGGTCCATGCCGTGCACTATGTCAGTGGAGTGAAGCCCCGGCAGCGGGCTCGGCATCTCCGTGGCGGAGGGGTCTAGCTCTGCGTGGCTAGGAGGGGGGATCTCTGGGTTGGGGGGCTGCAGGGCCCGTCGGGGCCGCCCGCGTTTCCTCTTTAATGGTGGGGCGGAGACGGGCATGGCACAGGCTGTGGTCCGCGGCTTGCTGGAGCTACAGAGGCTGAAAAGTTGAAGTACATTTTTTTTATCTGAGTGCAACTACAAAAACAAAGTATACAGAGGGGCATTACAGAAAAACAAGAATAGATGGAGAGATAAAGGCTAACCTGCTGATGTTGAGCAAGTAATGTTAAGCATATTCTAAATCAGTGGTTCTCAACTGGTCAGGCCTCGGGACCCACTTTTCCTTAGTCAATAGATCGCGACCCGAAATTTTGAACCACTCAAATCTATTCAACAAAAAAATCGTGCAGTAATATATACGCTTTTCAGCAGTGCATATATCCCTTATATTCCTTCACAGAACAAAAGAATGCTTTTAAATAAGGTTTAATGAGATGATGGAATCATAGAAATACTAACATATAAACTACGCATTCTGGTACACTCTGAGAAGAAAATAAATAAATCTATTACTACCCGACATATTAATAATATTTTATGCCATGGTTTGTTTTTCACTTTGTTCTGACAGCTGAACTTGCTGCTCCTCACAGAGAGAAAAGCAAAGAGGAGATAGTTTGTGTGAATTACTTTAAATTGTGGGTAAGGGTAGATAGCCCCCATTGTTCTGTGACCTGTCAATCATCAAACCGGGGGTCATATTTCATTAGGTGTTCATTTTTATCTGAAGTTGTACCCATGGGTGTATAAAGAATAGTTCTACCGCAAAGTTATTCTCCGTGGGGACTTCCGGCAACAATCTTGATTCTGATTGGCCAGAAGACTCGAAAAAACATCGGCAACGCTGTTTTATTGAGAAGATGATCACTACGTGACAGAAGTTTTCAAAACCGTTTATGGTCTCCGGTACTTCCAGTCCAACGCCTACTGCATGCACAGCGTTAGAAAATCGGGCCTTCAAAATAAAAGTTTGACTTTTTTCCCAAAAAAAATTAATGTTTTTTTCTTCACTCACATCTGCGACTCACTCGAAACGGGTCCGCGACACAATTTTTGGGTCGCGACCCACCAGCTGAGAACCACTGTTCGAAATCTTACTTAAAATGGGGCCTATTATGCTCATTTTCAGCATCATATTCGTAGTTTGTGCCTCTTCTGTGACATATTTACATGCTTTAATGTCAAAAAGCTCTTTATTTTTCACGTACTGCCTACGTTCAGCACCTCTGAGGGATGGGGGATGAAAAATATTTGGGGATTTTAGCCTAGCAGACCATTTACATGCACAAAAACCTTTGCAACACACTACAGGTAACGGAAAACCCCAAAAGGATAATAGGGCCTCTTCAAGCATTTGAGTGTGAAGCATGCTTACGTACATAAACACAAAGAACAGCTGTACCAAATCTTATGTAAATCCATAAAATAGTTTCACGCATTTTATTCAAAACACAATGTAAACCTCATGGTTGCTAGAGGGATAGTCAGGAGATCCTTGAAGTCATTGGGATTCCTCTTCTGGGAAATAAAATTGTTTATACAAAATCCTGGCAACCAATCCAATAGTTCTTGAGATTTTTCTGTCAGTTGATCAACGACTTTGGTTCAAAGGCGTACCAAATCTCCCCTTCCACAGGCCAATAGAGTGAGGAACGGTTAAATGTAGCAAATGCATAGTAGACGTACCTGGACTGTCTTGAAATGCTAGTTGAGGTAGTTTCTGTGGTGCTCAGGGCTTCTATGGACTCCATATCTGAAGTACTTGAAGACAGCAGAGACCTCTCACTCCTGGTGTTTTGGGGACGGTGAAATGAGAACAGACACGGGTGGATAAAAAAGATTTAGACAGAAAAGAAAAATGCTTCTTAATGACACTTTTGATTAATAGGGCTTAATCAAATAGTCTGTTAACCAGTCTAAGGAGAGATAATGAATGGACAAAAAATGTGATGAGATTATTTAAAGAAATGGCAGAAAAAAATCGTTGAGTTTTAGTACAAAACGGGCACCTTTAAGAGGTGGCTTCACAACTACACAGTGAAGCTGGATGTTTAGGAACAGCACTTCTGCAACATGATTGCTCACTTACTTGATAGAGGTCAAGTGACCCATTGGGTGGGGTTCTAGTGGTAGAGGCTTTCTCACTTCCTGTTTAAGAAAAGAAAAATATATTGTAATTGTGTTTTCTTATATTTAAGTGGTTTCACAACAACTATGTACGCATCATGCCATCACCCACTAATGTATACAAACAAATATATGCGTGCACTCACTTGGGAGAAGAGCTCACTGCGTTGTGGTCCTTGCTTTCTCTTCCTCTTCTTTTTCTTCTTCTCTGTCCCATTGGTAAAACTAGCGCAAGGTCTAGAGCAACACCAACAGTTTCACAAATATTATAAATTACACTAAATATTTGTTTCATGCATTATGAAACAAATTACAAGGTGCATCAAAATGCTGCTTTTTAGAATGTTGAATCTCTTTCTCACTTCATCACATCAGTCCAACGCAAGCAGTTCAAATTAAAGAGCTTGACTATTACAACATTTAATGTGAAATGTAGGTTTCCCATTATACCTCATGCCAGGTAGGGCCTTTGTGGAGCTCTCGTGTGAAGCCCTCTCCATCCCTCTGCTGGTTGGCTCATCAGAGTTGGGGGGAGCGGGAGGGAAACGGATCCTCAGCCCGAACAAGTGCTTCTTTTTCTTTACCTCCTTCCCCGACATGAACCTAGAAGAGTCAGGGAGAGGGTGATGAAAGGTAGATACCAAAAAGTATAGAAGACTAAAAAATAACCAGACAAATGGTAGTTAAAGGGCCCATGTCATGGCAATTTCCACTGATCATAATTCCATTGTTGAGGTCTACTAGAATAGATTTATACCGTGCATTTTTCCAAACTCACATTGGTTTCTCATACAGCATCTCTGTAAACTACGTGTATTCACTGAATTTCACTCTCTGCCTTTAACGGCTCGTTGTAGCTCCAATAGCTCCAGCCCCCACCCTCCCTGTGAGCACAGTGTGCTCTGATTGGTCGGGACGTTGTGAATCGCGCTGAGCTCCGTGGAGGTGTTGTTTCCTTGTTTAGGATACACAGCGAAACACAGCCAAACTCATCCTGAGCACACACAAACTCACAGTCGAGGTAAAAACAATAAGTGTGGCTTGATATTGAGTAAGAAAAAGGTTGATAAACGCTGTGAGAATGGGTCTGCAGAGAGAATTTCGCCGCGATCCCAACTGTCTGTTATCAGCCTGCAGCCAGGGAGGAGAAATCAGCAGAGCTGCCTGCTCCCTGCACACAGATGTGTGTGTGAGGAAGTCCGTGGATTGGTCAATTTGAACCAATCAGCGGGGGCTTAACGTAACGGCTCCGCGGATTGGTCCATTTCGTTCCGGGTACGGCATGACATCATGCCGTACCCGGAACGAAATGGAAGAATCAAATGGACAATGACGTATCTCCAACGAGGCGTTTTGGGGAGGTATTTTCTGTGTTAGACTTTTACTCGCTACAGGGTGTACTTTGAGGGTTTTGACTCTGCACACCGTTTACATGCAGAAAAACCTTCATAACACACAAGGGGACGGGTAATAACCGGGAAAGCATGACATGGGACCTTTAAGGAAAAGATAGAGTTGTGCACTTTATGTACAAACTTACAGGCTGCTGTTGTTGTTTAGCGCCTCCAGAACCCTTTCATAACGCGCCAACCTGGGAGTGTTGGCGAGCTGCAGACACAGGGGAGGGGAGGTCGCCAAACAGGAAAGGCAGGGTTAAAAAAGAAAAAACAGGTAAATATTTCAGAAAATCAACACCATATGGTTTCAAAAGCTAATTGGCAGCCAGGGATAATCTAAAAATAATCAACCCTGGTGTCTAGGACAAGCTGAGGCCTGTACAACAAAGCAGGATGTGCGGTTAGCGAGGTCACTTCAGGGTTTACTCTGGGTTTTGGTACTACAACGCTGGTTCACTTCTAACCTGGGTAACTCGGCACGGTAAATTATGCTGGTTATGTGTTCCAGATAAGTATGGTCTCTTATCTGGATAGGTATGTTCCAGATAAGAGATCAACTCTGTGAAAGCACCGCCTGCTGACCGATCACGCAGCGTCCACACGGCGGCGTGCGTTGAAGCTTTCCGGACAGCGTGTCTGAAACTCGACCAACAACCAATCACATGAATCTCCCGCCACAGACACACAAGCACGCGGTTTGATTGGCTAGAGCTTGTACTGGCATATGATTTGATTGGCTGACGCTTCCATGGAAGCTTCAAAAGTTGAACATTGCTCAACTTTTGAAGCGAGCAACGCAAGCAAAGCGAAACGACGGAACCACAATGCAGTTCGGCAAAGCGTGACGTCACCCCATTCAAAGTGAATGGGCAGAAGCGTTGAAGCTTCAACGCACGCCGCCGTGTGGACGGGCCGTCAGAGCCAGAGTTAAAAAGCCATCAAGTCATATTACAGGCTCAAGAAAACACAGTTCAAACGGCCAAATGTAGGAAATAAGTCTGGCAAAAATATAATAAAAAAAATCATTTCAATTAAAAGAATCATTGCCTATCATCTAGACATAAAAATGCTCACTGCATTTGCGGTAAGCAAGCTTACTTGAATACCTTGACCATCGACCATATGTATTATTGCTACACAAACATTATATTGCAGTTTTAGTGTTGCCAACTCCGTTTCTAATATGCAAAAAGACTGCATAATGCGTCTATGATTATTTTTTAGTATTTTCGATCTTTCCAATCCAGACGAGAGATCCCTCTCCCCCGCCTGCTTGCGAGGGGGCGGGGCAGTTTACACGCACGCAGCTGCTACTGTACATGCAGCAACACACACGGAGGAGATGGCGGAGAGAACGTGCTCCAAGGTGTGGTTAAACTTTACCCATCTCGATGTGGACAATGCTCGTTACCAAGAGTGCAATAAGAGTTTAGCATGTAAGGGCGGTAACACGAGCAATTTGTCTAAACATTTAGCAAAAGTGCACCACATTCAGACGGAGAAATGCACCGGGTTCGACTGTCTTTCTAGTAGCTCTGTAGCCCCATCCACGAGTAACTTCGCCACGTCAGGTATTATGTATGCTAGCAGCAACACACGGAGTTAACTCAATTATAAAAACATGGGTTAATGATTAGAGGTAACAGATATATTTTGTTTAAGTTTCAGCAAAAGCAATGTTAGTTTTGTTCACAATTTGTTTAGTTAGTTTACCTTGTTTTTCTCTCCAAAAGAACCGATAAAACTACCGTTAAAAGACCGGATCGATAAGTGGTATCGATAAAAGTAGTAGTACCGTTAAAACCTTAACGATACCCATCCCTAAATGGGTGCCCAATTAACATCGTATGAAACGGATCTTGCCGATTTCAACGAGACATTTATGGGGAAATTGTGGAGAGAGATGACTTTTACTCTGGGATAAATGCAATCGTTTTTTTTTAATGCATTTTTCACACACACACACACATCACTCTAGAACTAGGGTTTGTTTGTTTGTTTGTAGCCTTTATTTAACCAGGTTAAAAAATCCCATTGAGATCAACGATCTCTTTTTCAAGGGAGACCTGCGGTACATTAGTTACACATAAAAACAATAGAAAACAAAAAGGGTTACAATACGTAACCCACCGTTCTTGCAACAGGGCCTGAATTTCTGTTGAAAGGAAACTTATCTCCTCCTAGGATGATAGATTTGCCTCTCTTACACCCCTGAATGGAGGAGGGACGCTGCAGAACTGGAGTGAGTAACCCAGTCGCAGTATCCTGTCCACCCCTTCTGTCAGTACACAGCTGAGCTTCCATTCCCCATAAAACTGTGTTTTAGGGGACATGCAAGGAGCTGTGGAGCCGCAGCTAAGAAGCTGTGGTACTCTCTGGTGGCCCTCTCCTCCGCCAAACCTTCCATGAAAGGAAGATTGGCTTATGGGGAACCGACATTAAAAGGGCCGATTTTCTGCGGAGGTCCTTGAACGCACCGCGGCCCCTCTCACGGGGCCGCGCTCCTTCGCATTAACGCTGTGTTTCACATTAACAGTGAAATGCATTAATCTGAGCTATTCTACCAGGCGCGGTGTGTTTTCTGACAACACGCCGGCTTATAGTGTCTCTGAATCCGCACAGTGCTTTGACAGCACTTTCTGCGGTTTATTCCACTCACGTGCGCGCACTCACCTGCTGCTTCCTTTACTGGAGTTACAGCCGGGCGGCGAGTGTGGGACAGTGTTCTCTCCTCTGAGGATGAGCAAGAAGCAGCATAGGCCAAGCTGCGACTTCTCCTCATCCACGTGACCGAGGAAATCGATCCAAAGAGCCCTTCCGTAGACACGGGGGCTCCCAGGAGATCATCAGTCTTTTTATTTATTTTTGGAAAGTGCCATGCGCCGTGATCCCACTGTGGCCAGGGACATCACACGGCAAGCAGCGGCGGCCACACCGTGGACCATGATATTAATTTGGCCGATGCTGCGGACAAATAATCGCTCTGATCCGGTGAGGTGGGGGCATCTTGCGGAAGAGCAATCAGCGAGACGCCCAACACACCCGTGTTTATTTGCAGCCGCCCTGTCACGCGGCAGCGGGGCAGAGGTTCTCTGCCCAGCCTGATGCCTGTGGGAGCAGATGGGCTGCCACGCTCCGCCGCCATGGTCATCACCAGGGGGAAGTCCTGGCGGACAGACCTGGGCGGTGGACTTCCATGGACGCCGGACCCGGAAGTGCCCGACAACGAGAAGTCCTCCTCCCCGGCAAACGGAGCCATCCGCCCCGCTGGAATGGCGAACGTGAATGGCACCGCCTCGGCCATATCCTGGTCCCCCAAACACTTGAAGCAGAGGTGGTGGGGATCGGCGCCCGCTATTAAGCCAGGGCACGAAGGACAGGCCCGGGTCTCTAGAAGTGGCGACTCCATGAAGGTATGATAACTTCTTTCTTCTTCTTTCAAACGTTTTACTTTCCTCTGTCAGGTGTTGTCCTGCTCGCTGAAGAGAAAAGGATGACGGTCAGGAGGCGTAGCCGCCTTATATACTGTGGGCCTGCGCGCGCATTCAGGTAGGCTCGCCCCGATTGGCCGGCTACGTTTATGCAACTCAGTAGGTGAATGCTCGCATAGCATGGTTGAGAGTAGTACCCATAGAGTCCAGTAGAGGGCGGAGCCTGTGTGAGATGTAACAAATACTCTTCACATTATTCCTAGATATAGGTTTAATAAACCTGTTTACCGTGTTAAATTATGATTTTATATTTATTTTTGGGGATGAATAATATCTTCTATTCCACAAAAACACAATTAAACAAAACATTAATTTGACGAAGCACTCAAACGTAATTGAAGTCAGATCCACTGGTATTTTAGAATGAGCAGTGGTATTGGACTATTAACCAGTTAGATTACGCATGCACACAGTGGCAGATCTTTAACCAGCAGCTCTTCCTGCTCTTTGCAGCTGCATCCTGGATTGGAGTGTTAAAGTCATGGATGTATAAAGTTGAACTTCTTCATATTTGTATAATATTATAGTTAGATGGACCTTTATTAATCCCCGTGGGGTAATTCAGTAGGTTAACGGCAACAGGGTAAGATTGAAAAACCTGGGTTGACTTACCGAGTTGATAACCAGCGTTTTAGGAGCGCTTAGCGAGATCGCGTTTAGTAGGGTTAGTTAAGCCAGATAACTCTAAGAGACCCAGGGTCTGTTGAACTGGCTTTGTAGTACAGGCCGCAGGTCTCTCAACCTGGGATGTATTGGTGTATGAAGCAGCTACTAGAATAGAAACTGCTAACGCACAACAGATCGACCATTTCAAAGATCCCGTGCAAAATCCAAAATCCACATTACATTCATTTTCATATTATTTGGCCAATGCTTTTGTCTAAAGCGATTTACATACACTCCATTACTGTAAACATGTCTACGAGAGCAATTTGGGGTTACTATCCTGCCCAGAGAGACTTCAAAATGTTGACTGCAGGGGCTGGGGATCAAAGCACAGACCAGCCGATTGGTAGGTGCCCATTTACCCCTGAGCTACAACTCTCCAAAATGGTTACAGTTAATCTTTGGATTTGAGCTTCAAGTGGAGTGATTGTCTACCATTTGTTGTTTAATGTTTGTTTAATACCATACTCACAAAATAACCTGCAATTTCATCTGTCTTGGCATAATTTATATAGAAATATTTGTCAAGGCACATCTGGGAATTGAACCAATTATCTCTTTTTACATATACCTCTTAGTCTGAGCCATACAAATACATTATGTCTTTGTGTGTGTTTGTGTGTGTCCAGAGTTGGCTAAAAGTACCTCCCCCAGCTGCAGCAGCTCCCAGTTTTCATTGATGTAACTCATCAGGTGCATCTCAGAGTCAAAGTACTTCTTCTTGTGGATCACGCTCAGGTTGTACAGGCTCAGGTGTGTCACATCCTCCCTGAAACATTTCAGTAAAAGCTGTGTTTTCTTTACTACTTTTAGTTTGGCTACAAAATAATAGTATACAAAGAAAAAGGCAATGTGTCTAGGAAAAGAAAGGTCATTATGAAAGGTTAAAGCGTAAAGGAATGATAGAATAAATAAAGGAGCATTTAAAGAAAAAGAGAAGAAAGGCCATCACATCCTTGTTTATCTTTGTACCTGTGTCAAAGCTGAACGAACATCTTGAGGTTCACTTACCATCCGAGCGGCAGTCGGCTGATGTACTCTGGGCCACCGTTGCAAACGGAACAAATTAACAGATAAAACCTAAAGTTATACAAACAGAAAAACATGTCAGATTATTATGCTACAGAAATTGTTGGAATGTAATAATTCAAAGGCCTGGGGTTTACGGTTTCCTGTGTTATACAAGCAAAAACACAAGGTAAGCTAGTGTAAACAGAAAAAACATCTCGAAACAAAAAATGGTTGTTTCCTTACATATAACTTTAATATGGTTTCATTCTGCAGTAATGCATTATATTGTAGCATGAATTGGAACCTGCCATTTTTATCTTCTTTGCACTCTATTCTCTAATGGTGGTTAACAGTTGCGGCTCCAGAGTATTTTTGTTGAGTAATCTATGGTAGGGCTAACCCATACAGTGGTGGGGCTCAAGTCAGTATTTGCAATGTAATTACATACACGCTATATCGCCCCCCTTGACAGTGAAACGCCATGCGTGTCATGAGGTTTAGATTATTTCCCTGTCTCAATCAAAATGGAACTGTATGAAATAAAAAGGCACATTTGTCTTGTTGTAAATAAAAAGGGCGACCTGGAGCCAATCCTGCAATTTCCCCACAGGTGAAAGAGTTGACTTGCTGAAAACCCAACCCCTGCAGGGGGGTCTGGGGGGATTCTCCCGGAGAAATTTTGAAATACTAACATAAAATACACATTCTGGTACTCTCTTAAGAAAATAAATAAATCTTTAAATATTACTACACGACATATTTAAAAAAAATGTGGACAGCCCCCATTGTTCTGTGTGTCAAAATGAAAGACAGCCCACACACCTATCAATCATCAAACCGTGGGGTCTTATTTCATTACGTGTTGATTTCTATCAACACGTAATGTTGTATCCATGGATGTATAAAGAGAAGTTCTACCGCAAAAGTATTCTCCGTCGGGACTTCCTGCAACAACACCACGCCGTTATCGTGATTCTGATTGGCCAGAAGACATTATCAAAGATGTTTTATTGAGAAGACGATCACTACGTGACAAGTTTTCAAAACCGTTTCTAGTCTTTGTCATTTCCAGACAAGTGGCTACTGAAATCAATCTTACTAACTGCTGTCTGTGCAATTTAGTCGGCGCTAGTTGGCGGACTTTTTTTTGCTTTCTTTAACATAATTTTTCATGGTGGGGCTAAGCCATTTCTTGGTATGGCTGTAGCCTACCCCAGCCATACCCTAGAGCCGCCACTGGTGGTTAAACTGTTGACTGAGATCCCTGCCAGCCAATCACAAGTCTTTCCCACCGCTTTTGGCGTGAATATAAATGTAATTAAACAAGTATGAAACATAAATATAGTGGTGTTTGCACCTGTCTCCATAGAGCATGGGAATCTGTAAGCAATGGAGACAGGCCTCATGGAACCACTGCTGACAGCCGTGACACTGCAGCATCTTCAGGTACCAGCTGCAAGGAATGGACAAAAGAGAGAGAGGGGTTAGCTGTGTCAGGATGTGCATCCAATTTCTTTTCTAAAAAGGAACCCCAATAAACAGACTGCTTGAGTTTTCAAAATGCAATTAAAGTAAAAATAAAAGCCTTTCAACACATTCATTTTCCTCAATGTTTGATGTTTTCTGAGCTTAGAAGATTCTACAATAAAAATGTACAAATAATTAGAAAAAAAAATGTATGAAGGCTCTATTTGAAAAATTCTCCACATAGAATTCAACGCGGTTTTACAAAGCTTTTGAAAGGGATACGACTGTACCCTAACCCTAATTAAATTGAATATTTGCACATATTTATTTGATCTTGTTAAGCAAATTGGTCCATTTAGACTGTAGAAGTGGAACGGCTTTAAATAAATCATGGCATTTATTTAAAACAAAAAAAACAGACATTTAAAAGGTTTCCGATCCCGTTCTGTGATATGTAGTTCTTTACAATAAATAATAGTGTCTTTCAGCAAATGTTTGTGATTGTGAATACAAATTAAATAACATGATTGTTCGGCAGAGCGCTGCAGCTGCTGTTGGCATGCTGGCAACAATAAGTTAAGAATGATTAGAAAGTCTGAGTTGTTTACCGAGGTTTTTTTTTTAAAGTATGTAATGTGTTACTCACTCTCCTGGCCCTCCGCAGTAGCAGTAGCAGTGCTGGATGTTAGTCGTGTGGCCCTGATCCCAGACCAGTTCTTCCAGAGCGTATGGGAGGGTCAGGTGCAGCCCCATGTGCTGCTCCTGCTGCTGCTGCTGAACGCCTTTAGCAGACCCTGCCCTCATGTGTGCACCCCCCCCCTGTGAACCACAGACAAAAAGCATATTTATACAGGCATTAAACTATGTACACACAAACAGTTTTTTCCCTGATTATCTAGTACTCTAGTGTCTTATCTTCACTTTGCATCACAGTTAAAGCAGAGCAAATATTGAGCCTCCCAAAATAGATGTCATCTAAAAACGTGCTAATTTAATCAAAACAACTCAACAAAAGGTATGATGCATTTATACACAAATAAAGAGCTGTACCTTAGGTAAAGAAGTGAGCTCACACTCTGAACAGAGCCACTTGTCATCAGAGTCGATGACAGAGGCATCGATGATGGGAGAGTGGCACAGCTGATGGTAGCCTAAAAGACAAACATCACATTTACATGCAGCCGTCATCTAATGCAGTGGTTCCCAAACGGAGGTACGGGGACCCCTAGGGGTACTTGAGGGAATTACAAGGGTTACCTAGAAAGATTAGAGATTGCAATATATTTCCACACAAAAAAACATTTGAAAATAAATGTCATTAGCTTGGTGTCCTCCACCCAGAACTATCACAGCCTATGAAAGACAAGCAGGCTCAAGTGTCTCATTAAAAGCTCTAGTCCTAACAAAAGATGTTGTGACTGCTAGAAGTGAGTCTTAATATTATTATTTTATTTCAGAATAAGTGTAAATGTCAGGTTTAAATGCATTTGTATTAAAGGTGGGGTAGGTAATTCACTTCAGAAACACTTTTTGTTATATTCCATGGAATGCTCTTAACATCCCGATAGCAATGAATATATTAAATGCTTTGACAATAAATACATTAAAAAAATGTCATCTGTGGAAGCCGTGGCGCTGTAAAAAGCACGACCAATCATCTGAGCCGGCCCGGCTAAAATAACTGGATGGCCTACCTGCCTGTCAGCCTTCCATCTCGTGCACAAACTTATCTCATGCCCTCATTGGTCATGTGCGCGTTTGTGTGTGTTGGAGGAGGGGCTCTATAAGGAAGTCTGAAGGAAGAGGCAGATTTTTTTTCGTCTGCGTACTTTCAAATTCTAGCGCACTCGAGCTGGTTTCTCCATTCTTACCTACCCTACCTTTAAGGGTGACTTATACAAGTGATTTAATGTAAGGAGCAGTTGGGTTAAATGTGATTACAAATTGTTTAACACAAGAACAAATGTGCAGGTTCTTATAGAATGGAAACCAGCCTTAATGACCAGAAGTCAGAATTCAAAAAGGTAGATGAACAAAGAATGGATAAGAAGTCAAACATTGGCTCTTAAAGAAATATACAGCTCTGGGAAAAGAGGTCCCTCAATTTGTCTTAAAGGGGACCTATCATGCAAAATGCACTTTTGTACGTCTTTTATACATGAATATGTGTCCCCGGTGTTCCAGGGAACTCACCAAGTGTCAGAAAACACAACCCTCTCTCTTTTCCTCCATACCCAAATCTCTAAAAAAAAGGGGCTGCAACGGATCTGATAAAAACTGATCCAGATTTGAACACTTCACTGACGTCAGTAAAGTGGCGCTACGGCTATTGGGCCAACTCTCCACCTATCAGGGGAATGTGGGGTTGGGCCATGGCCGGCCATTGCCGCTCGAAAGCGCTGTAGTACATATGCCAGGCCTGTAAGTGGCGCTGTAGTCTGCCACAAAAGCAGCAAAGAAGACTTCCCGCCCATAGTTACCATGGTTACCCTTCTGTTTATTCTCCGCTGTGGCTTTTTTTCTCCCTCCCCGAAGCAAGCGTTGAAAACATAAACGTATAAATATACCTTATATAGGTATGGCCCTACAATATATCATTTAAATATAGCATGATAGGTGTCCTTTACATCTCAATCTCTACATGTATGGCAGCCATTACATTCCAGTGTCTGTTGAATTCCGACAGATAAATGTTCTCAATAGTTTATAAAATAAAGAAAATGTTACTCAAACCTTTAAAGTCAAATCAGAGAAACTGATAATGCTGCAGTGGTCTCTTAATTTTCTCCAGATCTGTATATTATAATATCAAAGGACTGTTATAACGGCTTTGTTGACTGTTGGGTAAAAAGACCAGAGTCAATGAACTTTACCTTGGCCACACTTGTCACAAATGACAATTTCATTGGGTTCGTCGGAAGTTTCGTCCTGGCAAATAGAGCACACAATGTCGTCGTCCTCATCATCTGCATCATCTTCATCCCCTGAAACAGACACAGTGCTAGATGAGACAGAGTAAGGGCTAACAGAGTGCCTGGATTCACTTGTTACAGTTTTTTTCTATTGTAGATTATCCTGATTGGTCAGCACACCGTTTCTGAAAAACTGTTTTGCGGGTTAATGGTAGATGGAAATCTTAAAAGTATCTTAAACACAGGTGGTTATTCTGTTGCACCTGTAACCACACCACAGTGATGGCAGGGTGTAGTGAAACACTGAAATGACTTTTCTGGGTTTGTGTAGCTATGTAAGAACTTCAACCATCAGAAGTCTTTTAATTGCGGTTGACCTTTTAAAGCTTTAGTCGTAAACTTGTGTCTCTCCCATCTGGCAGTGATAGTTAGGGATGGACAAAAAGGACATGTTTCTAACACAGGGTTCCTGTAGGTTTCACCAACTCAAATTTAAGACTTTTTAAGACCACTTTGAATAGAATTTAAGACCGATTTCACGGCAAGAAAGTATGAAGGAAAATTGCTATGAAAGAAGAAATACGTCCCATAATTACTTACAAAGTAAATGTATTCATGTTCAACATAAGAACGATGTCCACAGCACCTCCGCTTTTAGGGTTGACGTAGACCTAAACGTCACCCGGAGGTCCCCCGATGTTGTTGCGGGAGCTGCTGCACTAGCTAATGCTACATTAGCAAAACAAACGCTAATTTTGTTTGCAAAAGGTGCAGCGGGCTTCAAACACGTTCCCCTCCACTGGTTTCAACCAAGCACTAAATTCGATGTTTTCCAACCAAATACGGTTGCACTTACACTTCCCCATATTTATTTGCAAGTAGATTCGAAGATACCAGAGTTTCTGACTGCCGTTAGCTGAAGCTTGGTTGGTTGCTAGGTTACTAGCTGGGTGTTCTCCGATAAGGGGCCGGGGGAAACAAAGTTAGTGATTACTGGTTCCATGTTGATTTATTTCAATACAAATTGTGTTCAAAACACATTTAGACGCGATCGCAACAAAGAAGTCCCTTTCAAATCCAATCATTTTTAAGAACTTCTAAATCATATTTAAGACCCTTCTTATTTTTTTTTTTTTAAATCATATTTAAGACTTTTTAAGGCCTTAAATTCTGATTATCAAATGTAAGACTTTTTAAGACCCCGCGGGAACCCTGTAACATTAGATGCTGAAGATAACAAAATAAACTAAACAGTCAAGAGTAATAATTATTTTTAAATGCATGAGAGAGTGCTCCCTGGGGAGATACAGCGAGCCCATCTGAAGGTCAGAGTTGCAAAGTTGCCAGAGACTTAATCAGCATTGTGTGATGAAGCTCTTGTTTAATCATTAAAGGTAGGGTAGGTAAGAATGGAGAAACCAGCTCGAGAGCGCTAGAATTTGAAACTACGCAGCCGGAAAAAATCTGCCCCTTCCTTCAGACTTTCTTACAGAGCCCCTCCTCCAACACACACGAACATGCACGAACATGACCAATGAGGGCACGAGATAAGTTTGTGCACGAGATGGAAGGCTGACAGGCAGGTAGGCCATCCAGTTACTTTAGCCGGGCCGGCTTTTCTATTTAAAGAAAAGGTTTAAAAAAGGTATAAACAACAAGATGTATAGCCTCAATGTCCTGAAATAGCTGAATAAGTTAATAGGTTAAATGGTTTCTGCAGCTGGAAGTAGGCTGAAGGAGTTAGATATTAAATGTAAGTAGTAGTGAATGAATGTTTACAAACACATGTGTGTGTAAGCCCAGAGATCAAAGGTTACCATGGTGACAACGTTATCAAACACCTGTTTACGTGAGATCAAAGGTTTCCATGGAGATGTGGGAAAGGAGAGCCTTTCCATTGTTCTGAAGGAGAAATAAACCTCTTTCATTTCTTACTATAGTTTAAAAACGGTAGCTGCTTTTGGTAAAAATTGTGTGTGTGTGTGTTAGAGATGTTCAGTGTTTGTGTGTCCCTGTCTGACTGTTACCCCATTCACACCAACGGTGTTTCGGGGCCGGTTCGGTGCTGGTGCTTGAAAAGCACCGGGTTTTCCTGTTCACACCGCAGCGGAGCAGCCTCTAAGCTCCGGAATCCGGTTCGTTTCGAGCACCAAAAAGTTGTCCGTGTAGAAGCAAGAACCGCTTACGTCGGAGGGGGGCGAGATTAACCTGAGATAACAGTTAAGGCGAGTACGGCAAATAAAAGTTGTAACCAGCAGTAGTGCTGAGCAAAGTGACTAGAACGCAACCACACACTTGTAAAAAAAAAAACACGCTTTATAAAGTCAGGCAACACTAACCAGGCTTCGTGTGATTCTGTTTATTTGTACCTTACTTTGACCATCCGTTCGCTGTTATTGATCATTGTGGAGAGCAGGCAGACGTTTTGTTTGTTATTATAGCAGCTATCGGATGGAATCAATACATGGGCTGCACAGGTTGTCATGTCCGACTATCACAAGTAGAATCATAATGAAAAATACGCCGGTAAAAAGTGCCTGTATAAAACGGCTTAGCAAGTAGTCAGTTTAGCTTCGGTTGCTATGCTAACATCACCCATGTTATACCAGAGAAACTTTCATAACAGCGTTGTGATGCCAAACAGCGTCAATTCAGACTGACACACATTCACTTAAGGGGAACTGGGGATATGTAACAGCTGCTTGTGTGACAGTCAGACAGTGAATACTTTAGAGCCGTGTGAGCTAACCCGGAGCTAACGGCAGAATACACTCCCGTTGAAGAGCAGTCAGCACTGCAGCGGTCGGTAAATGCCGCTGAAACACATTAATAAACAATGAACCACGGCACTCTGGAGAAAAGTATAAGGTTGGAGAAGTCGTTATTTAATTTAATCTGGCTTCGTATGATTAAAAGCAACACGATCATCGACCCGACACAGTCCCCGGCCCGTTGTTGTTGTGAGGTGAGCTCCGTTGGGGAGAAACTCAGCGACGTAAACTGTGACGTCATGACGCAGCAGCGGCAGCACCAGTCGGGCTCTGAGCGGTGTGAAAAGAGCCGGCGCTAAACCGAAGAACCGGTTCTGAACCAGAAAAGCTCTAGCACGGAGCTAGAAGGGGAAAAGCCTTGGTGTGAAAGGGGTATGTGTGTCCCTTTCTGACTATGTGTGTGTGTGTGTGTGTGTGTGAGAACATATGTAGTATAAACATCCAGTGTTTGTGTGTGCGTGTACCAGTCTGTCTGTGGGCGTGTCTGCTCTGATTAGATAATGTCACTCAGGTGTGTGGCCCCAATCTGCCCAGCAACACCATGGTTACCAACTGCAGCACTGAGTCCCATTAAGAATGCATTGAGGATTATATCTGACAATTTTGCCACCTGTTCAAAAACTATGGCTCCTATAAAACAATGACCAGAAAGTGAGCATCAGGGAACCCCAATGAACTGATATGTTTTTTTTGGGGGTGGGAGCAGTTTGTCTAAAGTTTACTTCTCTCTGTTCTGAAGAAAGTTCCGGACAAATTTAACATGGGAGTCTATTGGGAGCTCGGTGGACTTTTTGTCACTCAGATCACTATTGGGCCAGAACGGTGGGTCCGTTTGATATGATGAAGGCAATTGAGCAGGCCAGACTAATTATGCTCCTGAAATCTTTTGAAATTATTTGAATAGATTGTATATTTTGGCTCAGAGCAGTTTTAAAATATTTTTTCCGATGATTTTTAAGACCCTCTACACTCGAAGTGATGATGTCACACACTCTAGCCCTGAATAGTCCCTCCCATAGACACCCATTATAAAATCTAAAACAGCCTGAAAATGTACCAAAACGTAAACGTTAAGTCAAAAACCGTAAAAGATATAAAATCAGAAAAATAAGTTTTATAGCTGAAGGGCTTGTGATCATTTTAAAGTTGGAATGAAGTCTCTAGCAGAATGAATGTGGAAGGAGTAGCATTTTCCACACGGTGTAGTTAAAAGAAGATTTGAAGAGTCGCCCCATCGACACCCATTATAAAATCGAAAACGGCCTGAAAATGTACCAAAACTTAAACGTTTAAGTCAAAAACTGTAAAGGATATCAAAAATCTGAAAAATAAGTTTTATAGCTGAAGGTCTTGTGATCATTTTAAAGTTGGAATGAAGTGTCTAGCTGAAAGTATATGGAAGAAGTAGCATTTGGCGCAAGGTGTAGGTAAAAGAGGATTTGAAGGTTCCGCCCATTGAGTTACATGTTTAAAAAAGAGTTTAAAAAGCTGAATATTTTGAAAAGTATAAAATACTTTGAAAAAGTTGAAAGTTTCCCCATCATGTGCTGAAAAGGCTGAATAGTTTGATATTTGAATGGTTTCTGTAGCTGAAAGTATGCTGAAGTTATTGAGAGCCAAACTATTTGGTGAAATAATAATAAGAAGATGATTAAAGAATCGAAGAACTATAATGGAATGCTGTAAACAGCATTCGCACTAACTAGAAAGCTAGGCAAGAATCCTTCCTGGTAGGCCTGCTCAATTAATCGTATTTTAATCGCAATTACGATTTTGCTTAATGTTACTTCATGTTAAGGCTAATACAAATGACAAGGCTGTAATGCCAACTAACGTGCTAGCTACTAGCTAGCTTGATCCAGACACTCCTGGTCCTTTCATCAGACGGGAAGCGAAAGAACGAGCAAGACCCATTGCTGGTATGATAACAACCTGGTACTAAGCACACAGGCATCTTGTTAAAGTTATCTTATCTTAGCCAGCGCCATATAGATAGATTATCTATATGGCGCTGATCTTAGCTATCTCTTAGTGGAGGAAAACAATTGTGACATCACTTACGCGACTCTGGGATTTGTAGTCTTTCTAGTTGCGTATTTTTCATAGTCTTATATTTCAACAGTTTTACGACAAACTGTGACTTTTTTGACATGGAAATGATTTTTTAAGATTGACAAATATCATATGTGTAATTCATGGCACAATTCAAACGGGATCGAAAGATAAGTTTTCTCTCTCCATTGACTTCAATACATTATTTTTCCGAAATAAGGTCCCATGGGGCGGAAGTAGATGGGCGTGACTTCACCACTCTATTCACACCTAATAGTCCGCTTCTCTGGTGCGCACCAGACCACAGTTTGTTACATTGTTTCATTTTTCAGAAGGTTCGGTTTGCGTTCACACGGGCAAAATTCAAACGGACTATAAACTTTAAACACAAGTCATGTGCTCGGAAATGCTGTTCAACAATTGGTCAGACATTAAGGGGGTAAAAACGCAAATCCCGGCAATTTCTACCGGAGCCTCCGCCATGGAACATCGGCAGGTTATTTTCATGCTGTTGTTAATCTGGAGAGCATATCAACAGCAACGGCGCATATGATTATATAATCAGACAACGTGCGATACAAAACATTAGAACACATATAATAATAGACGTTCTGCAGTAAGGAGGGGGTTTCACCGACAGCAGGTGGCTCTGACTATTATGTATAGTTTTTAGTTTTATAGCTGTTTTTACTTTACACGACACTGTTCAACCTGTGTTCAACACATCATTCTGCTTCACTCTTTCACTAAAGAAATGAAGACACCCGCGTTCTTGTGACACGTAAATACTACGCTTCCTATGTTTTGGTGCGGACTGCGTTCACACCAGCAATGAACCGCTCCAGAGTTCGCAAGCAAGCTTTCCGAGACCACCTATTTTAGCGGACCAGAGTCCGGTTGTTTAGTTCACTTCAGAGGTCTCGGACTGTGTTCACACCGACCCAAATGAACCGCACCAAGCGGCTAAACGCACAAGGGTTCGATTCAACCGGACTATAAACGGCTGGTGTGAACGCACCCTGAGGAACTAAATAATTAGTTCTGAAAGCAATTAACAGGGTTCTTACACCTTTTTCAAAGCGAAATTCAAGCACTTTAAGCACTTTTAAGGTGCATTTTCAAGCAGCTTACAGCTGTGGTAAATTACATATTGATATATACACTTATACTCAAATTATTATTTCACTACCGCACATTCAATCAGATGTTCTTTATGCTATAAACAACCAAATGTGTGTTTCGTAATAGCATTCTACATGAGGATGATAAATTAAAGAAAAAGAAAACAAAGTTTAATATTTCTAAATTAGTGGCCCATCTGTAAGTAAGACTCGGCATCCCATATAACCTGGGGGAAAACAATCAGACAAATCACACTTCAATAAATTCATGCAGAACTGCATAAAAATAGACTCAAAATGGTTACGATTTACATTTGTAAATAGTAATTGTGTACAATCATTTGCACGTTATTTTAAGTACTTAAGACACAGCCTTATACTATTAAAAAGGAAAACTGTGATTTTTCTACATTACGTGAGATTAAAGCAACATTTATTTTTACTTGTACAATGCTGCAAGACTTTATCTAAATGCCTGTTTCTAAAATGAGCAACCATAGCAACGCGGTCAAATCCTCAGTTTACAATTTATAACAACATGTTAACAAGCTAAAGTGTAATGACAACAGTGAGTGCTTCATCTGAACACCACAGGATGACAACTGTCACGCACATATTAACATAGGTACACTCCTCTAAACGTTTTGACTCTCGCTTATAGAGTTCGCTATTCAGCTTGCTAACGTTACACGTCACGTTTGTTTAAGCTAGTAACGTCAGCCTAATCCAAAATGCTCTACTACGGTTTAACTTTGTGGCTCGGCAGCGCAGACCCATCGTAAATAGTTGAAAGCCCTTTTAGCAAACTTTGCACGAGGCTACTTGTGGGTTTGTCTTAGCCATGGCTTGTATATGTTTTCTGCTAGCCAACGCTCGTTGAAACGGCAACTTCCTGGCGCAATGTCATCTATTACTGTCTGTCATCAGAATGCCCAGGACACATTAAAACAAACCGGCAGGTCACGCGCATAGCGCGGGAAGGCTGGAGCGGAGCTGTCTTTTTATGAAAAGGAATTAAGCTTGCTCCGACTTCTTTCTCTTTTTTTTTTATCGAAAAAAGCGAACTATTCAGTCAGACAGCAATTTATTATAAAAGTAACGCAAGTACAATTTCAAGCACTTTATCCAAAATCCAAGCACTTTTCAAACCTTGAAAACACCTCATTAAATTTCAAGCATTTTCAAGGATTTCCAGCACCCGTACGAACCCTGCATATAGGTGGCGCTAGCAAGCATGTTGGACAATTTGAACCCATTGACTGCAGAATGTCAAATTTGTCACCGGTCCTGGCGTCCGTGCAAAATTATACAACTTTTGAAGCGTCCTAAAGCCCTCAAAAATAGGAAACGCCAGCAGAAGAAGAATAATTCCACCAATAACAATAGGTTCCTCGCACTTAGTGCTCGGGCCCTAATAAGAAGAAGAAGATTAAAGAGAAAACGTATTAGTGCGAATGCACTAATACGTTTTCTCTTTAATCTAATAAGTAATAAATAACTCTTTACATACAGCTGTGCAGGAACATGTGGATCTCAAGTGATTTATTTTATTTGGAGATTTTTATTTTACATTTCTGTTTGTGAGATAGCAACAGATTGGAGAAGGGCAGGGCAAAAAGAGAGATCTGGCATAAAACCCAGGCCGTTGAACTAAGTACAGAGTACAGGCTCTACCAGTCGTGCTACTGGGGGGCCCGGATCTGCTCACTAGAAACTTGCCAAGATCGTAGAAAATTAAATGGTGGATGTTTGTTAAAATGTTTCTTTTTTTACATCAAAACTCATGTAATGACTAATTGATGTATCTGGAGGAGTGGGACCCGAGCCACTCGGGTGCAGTGTATCTCTCCCCTATTCTTATTTTGAATTGTGGTCATTGTGGTCAGTTAACTGCCAGCACCAAGAGAGGGGAGATAAGGAAGGCAGACAGGGGGAGGGTTGGAGAGCAAACAACTAATCCAACTAAAGAATTTGAGCAAAATCCCTCAGAAACTGTAAAGCAGGGGTGGGGAACCTCCGGCCTCCGGTCCGTATACGGACCGCGAGACCATTTGGTATGGCCCTCGAGGTAATTTATAAACACACGCAAAAAAGAAAAAAATTAAAGAAATCTAGACCGCAAAATAATTAAACAAGCGAGTGCCTGTTTTTCCTGGCCACGGTCCTTGAACACAACACGAGCCTAACGTGTCATCACGTGGTATATGTCTCGTCTGACAGGGGTGTAGTTCTGCCGGAGAGCACCAGAACGCCGCTCCGGCACTTCAGAAATTGCAGTACCCATAAGGAGGCGTACACATGCCGCAGTTTTTGCGTGGCTGTGTCTTTAGTTTTAAGCCGATTGGCGATCTGCTCATCTGTCATACTGATCATACAGTCAATAACTTTGTTGTTATTAGCATCTGGTTAGCTAGCTATGCTAACGAATATAAGAAGCTTTTTCTACAACCAGTGAGGTAAAGGCACATCTTTATATGATCATTACGGGCCGTCTCCACGGCAGCGTTAAAAAATCTTGAAACGCTTCTGCCCATTCACTTTGAATGGGGTGACGTCACTTTTTTTCGCTTTCGCCGAAATGCATTGTGGGCAGGCGAGCGGAGATTCTCAGGATTTTCAAGATCCAAAGTTGAACAATGTTCAACTTTTGAAGCTGAGGAGGAAGCGTCAGCCAATCAAATCCCGTGTACGCAAATCTGACAGTTCAAGCTCTAGCCAATCAAACGGCGTGTATGCTGGGAGAGACAGACCGCAGGTCATTTCCTCATATTCCAAAACATGGAGGAGAAATTAGCGGTAGCGAATCACCCGGTGCTTTATGACCAGACCTACCGGGATATAAACCGGAGGAGCCAGGCATGGAGGGAGGTGGCAGAGACAGTGGTATGTTTTCGCCTGTTTTGGGGAGTTTATATCCAGTTTACTTCAGGCTTTTTGGCTTCATATGTCGCGGGCGGGAGATTCATGTGATTGGTTGATCGCAAAAAAATCCCCAAGCCTCAGATACGCCCACCTCCAAGATTTTTTTAACGCTGCCGTGGAGACGGCCCGTTATAGTTATAAAAAAACAAGAGAATAAAGTAAACAGGTATAAAATACTATATGACAGTAAAATAAAGTTGTTAATTAATAAACAAGAATACAGTTTAAAAGGAGTGTGATTTGTAAAATATCCATAAAGAAAAATAAAATCTGCTTACAGTTCTGTTTCATATGGGTGTTGAGAGATGTATCCATAGATCGGCTAATGTTGCTCTCAAAGTGCACCAGATTGATGCTTTTAACTTCAACATTTAAAAAAAAAAAATATTCCCGGGGGAGCATGCCCTCTGGACCCCCCTAGAGGAGGTTAGGTCCCCCCCCCCACTTAATTCATGTTCGATAGGAAACTAAATACATTTGCACACATCTTGTGTCCATATATTTCTGTTTTGGTGGTCATGCCACAACCGTGCACGTGAATGCATGCGCGAGTCATGGTAAGATATCTGGATTAAGAGGTTGCTTTTTCTTTGCACAGCATGAAAGAAAGGCAAAATGAATGGGCTGTGATTTTAGTATTTTTAAGCAGAGGTCAATCATTTGTACGGCCCTCGGAGGATGTTGAAAAATTGAAATGGCCCTTGAGGAAAAAGGTTCCCCACCCCTGCTGTAAAGAGTCTAAAGTCCAGATGCTGCCAGGAAATAAAATAACATTGCACCTTTTAGATTACCTGTGAATGGTTGAGGAATGCCCTTTTATTTAACAGTAAAATCCAGGTGTTAAATAAAAGCAGTCCATGTCAATCTTCAAGTTGAAGAACTTACCTGTCTGAATATCCTTCCACAGAACCCAAGACTTTGAACGATCCTCGAAAACCACAAAGCACCTCTGCTTCTCCTGATTTATCTGAAGGAGAAACAAAATAGATGGATGTCTTTCTAAATGCCACACTGTTCTTAAAAGCATTTATTTAGTGCCAACGCATCTGGAATCTTCGAACAAGTCCAGTACGTCACATCTGCCAAATTTTGAGGATTTCTCCAGGTGGAGTCCTTGCATCCTAAGACTAAAGGGGCTGAAAATAAACTAGGCTACAAGCTAAGCTAAAGTTGTGTTAAAAAAAAAGGGATATAATAAGGGCACAAAGGTTTGAAACAGTCAGATATGTGCATTTGGAGGCCTACTTAGGCAGTAGCGTGGCGTGGGGAAAAATGTAGGGGAAGCCCATTTTTTGGGGTTGGGGGGGGTGGTCAATAACGTAAACAGATGAGTGATTACAGCGCCCGGTATCATTTTACACACATTTGTATCACACAGATGCAGGACTTGCACACGCCTGTTATCTAACCGACAGGTCCGCACTCTCCAGCTGAAACTCTCTCGTCTTATTAATTTAAGCATTTTCTTATTAATTTATGCAGACACACCACCCCCCCCCCCCCCCCAAAATGCAATACCAGCCGCTCAATGCGCAGTGCAGATTCGGTAATGACTAAAAAAGAAGCATTCATTCACAAAGTAAATCAGGAGACCTTTAAAGTTTTACGTTCACATCAAAGTATCAGTAGGCGTGTATGAAACACATGAATTCAAAAACAATTATGTACAGAAACATTTGCATGCGATAGTCCACCTTCTCTTCCCTTCCCTTTCTAACACACGGCAAGTGCAGCAACAGTCCTCGTCTCTGTAATTAGCTCAGTCCGTAGTCCAAAAGTAACTAAAAAATATAAACAATCTGATCTATTCAGGTGATCGGGCCCTATATGGAATAAATAATGCTTCATTTGCTTGATAATTTCAAACGGCGGTGATGACAGTTACAGTAGGCTACTACAGTACATAGTAAAACTGATGTTGATGTGATTTGATTGGATGGCAGTGTCCAATCAAATCGCCAGCCGCCAGCCGCCTCTGAAGGGAAGCCAGAGGCGGCTGGCTTCCCTTGGCATGGCCCTGACCAATCACAGGTTGGCAGGGGCATCACGTGGGCCTCATCTGATTGGTCAATCCCTCCATTTTTTTTCACCAAGGGAAGCCCGATTCGGCTGGCCTCCTCTCGCAACAGTGAATGCAATCTACTGTTTCACCATAACATCTAGAGGGGCGCTGTTTGTTTCACTCTTTGTAAAATACTCAATGATACCCCTTTCACACCAACGGTGTTTCAGGGCCGGTTCGGTGCTGGTGCTTGAAAAGCACCGGGTTTTCCTGTTCACACCGCAGCGGAGCAGCGTCATAGCTCCGGAATCCGGTTCGTTTCGAGCACCAAAAAGTTGTCCGTCTAGAAGCAAGAACCGCATACGTCACGCTTACGTCGGAGGGGGGCGAGATTAACCTGAGCTAACACTTAAGGCGAGTACGGCAAATAAAAGTTGTAACAAGCAGTAGTGCTGAGCAAAGTGACTAGAACGCAACCACACACTTGTTAAAAAAAACACACTTTATAAAGTCAGGCAACACTAACCAGGCTTCGTGTGATTCTGTTTATTTGTACCTTACTTTGACCATGCGTTCGCTGTTATTGATCATTGTGGAGAGCAGGCAGACGTTTTGTTTGTTATTATAGCAGCTATCGGATGGAATCAATACATGGGCTGCACAGGTTGTCATGTCCGACTATCACAAGTAGAATCATAATGAAAAATACGTCGGTAAAAAGTGCCTGTAGAAAACTGCTTAGCAAGTAGTCAGTTTAGCTTCGGTTGCTATGCTAACATCACCCATGTTATACCAGAGAAACTTTCATAACAGCGTTGTGATGCCAAACAGCGTCAATTCAGACTGACACCAAACAGCGTCAATTCAGACTGACACACATTCACTTAAGGGGAACTGGGGATATGTATCAGCTGCTTGTGTGACAGTCAGACAGTGAATACTTTAGAGCCGTGTGAGCTAACCCGGAGCTAACGGGAGAATACACTCGTGGAAGAGCAGCCAGCACTGCAGCGGTCGGTAAATGCCGCTGAAACACATTAATAAACAATGAACCACGGCACTCTGGAGAAAAGTATAAGGATGGAGAAGTCGTTATTTAATTTAATCTGGCTTCGTATGATTAAAAGCAACGCAGTCCCCGGCCCGTTGTTGTTGTGAGGTGAGCTCCGGCGTTGGGGAGAAACTCAGGGACGTAAACTGTGACGTCATGACGCAGCAGCGGCAGCACCAGTCGGGCTCTGAGCGGTGTGAAAAGAGCCGGCGCTAAACCGAAGAACCGGTTCTGAACCAGAAAAGCTCTAGCACGGAGCTTGAACCGGAGTTGCGTTGGTGTGAAAGGGGCATGAGAGTGGGGGAGAGACGGGCCGGCAGCAACACACAGCAAAGGAGAATTATCTAAACAAAACAAAGTGTTTTTATTTATTTATTTAAATTATAACTACAATCCGAAAAAACAGGGAGAAACCGCCACTGTACTTAGGGGGCTATTCCACTGGGCTGTTTCCAGTGTTTTGAGCATCTTGTGTACTGGAGCAGGTTGTGGTACAAGTGTGAGGCAATTTATCATTATAATGGATATCGTGAGAAACTGCTTGCATTTTGGACTTTTTTTATAACGAATCATAATCCTTTCCTGGTTTTAATGGCTGTTTTTAGTAAAGTGATTTGATTGACTGATCTTACCCAGCTGTCGTAGCTGTTCTTATAATTGCGTGTTCCCACGTAGCTATAATAATCTCATATATGATGAATATTTATCAAAATTCTCTGTGTCATTTTGTGAAAGCAACCATAAAAGTGAAACCATAAAATTAATGTTGGGGTAATTATTCAGAAATAGTCATTTTTGATGCTTTCCATACAAGGACTGAACATTTAAATGGGATGTTATCGAAATCAAAATATGGGCTAGTGCAATATTTAAATTTCAATAAGCTCAATATTTGGTAAATGCAATATATGTGAAAATAAAAGTATTGTCATGCTGCAAAGAAATTCCAGCCTACAAAAGGTAATATACAGACTTACAATACATATTTAATAAAATGTAGTTTGGTACAGATCCTTATTTTAAGATAATGTGAATAAGGTTTTTTTTTTTTTTTTTTTTAAATGAAAATTACTTCAAACTGCAATTGCAATATCAGTTTAAAAAAAATGCAGTTAGTATTTTTTTCTAAATCATGCAGCCCTACTAAATACAGCCCATTCCTAGGTGTTACTGTGTATATAAATAGAAGTAATTTAGTGCCATAAGTAAATCCCCCCCACACTAACCTTGGTGATTGTCCCCAAGTAGAACAAGCCGTCTGACCACCGGGCCAAGACGTCCTGCCCCTCTGTGAACCTGTCCGACATGTCGTCCTCTCCATACTCCCCCTGAGCAGAGAGGCTGCTGGGAGACAAGGGTACGGCCTGCTGCTGCCGCTGGGGGAGGGCTCTGTGATGGACAGACAGGTGATCCACAACCCCTGAGTCTCTGGAAGACAAAGGGAGGTGAAGGGAAAGATGGCAGCAGTTAAATTAGGAGAGAAGCCTTTCCAATGGGGTAATGAGACAAATCAGTTTCTTTGTTTTTACAGTAATTCCAGATAATACTTCAATCCGTCACATTATACAATTCCCAGTCTCTGTGCTGCAGGCCAGGTGCTTGGGTGTTCATTTAACAATACAAACGTATTTATGCATTTAGGATGGAGGTAACAGTGCATGAACAATGAAAATGTATGGAGTTACATGTTCTCTTATTTTCTTGTATTTTCTTGTAAAGTTTCTTTAAGCACTGGGAAAAGTGCTATATAAATATAATGCATCATTATGATTAGTTTAATTCAAAGTCAGGGTAAAAACAATTGACCTTGTTATACATGCCTACTGTTTTTTTTAACCAATACTACTCAAGTTTATGTACATCACAAACCCCCTTGATAATTACAACTCTGGTTGAATCACAGCAACACTACAATCCACACTATAATTGGGACCATCTAATACATTCCTTTTAAAAGGATAACATACAATACGAATTATGTGAAGATATATCTGTGAATATCCACTGAAGGAAGTGCTGCCCTGTATGTATAATCTCAATGGCAAAAACAAGGATATACTGTTGGGTTTCAGTAGATTTAACAAAACAATGGCTGAAAATGAGACGCATGCCATTTCCCCTCCATTGGAAACACACAACAGGTGATTATACTCATAATTAGTGCCAATTGGTAATCAACCACATGCAGTCAGTGGGATGGCTGCAGGACAATGCTGAGTGTTTCTATAGCCTTTTCAACGTCAAAAACGAAGTAAACGCAACTTAAAGCTGACGTTCTATAAACTGGCAATTGAATGTCAGCAACCCTTGTCAGATATATTAATACAAGTTTGCCCTTGTTAGTTTTTAAATTCTGCTGTAAGTCTTGAGTTATTAAATTAAGCTAGAGCCTTATATTTAATATTTCTATTTCCATTTAGCCAGTCAGCCCGGGATTCCCTTTGTTCGGATACTGGGGGAACATGGTCAATTTTAGCCTCTGGTGAAGATAAATAGCTAGCTCGAGATAACGTTGCAAAGTAAAACCTATTAGAGCAGCTAGCATCTTAGCCGGATTAGCATGAATAACCCGCATGCAGAGCGGCAACGTTAACCCCGGAGAGGTCGCTGATCGTCGGACCCACACCCCCCACACACAGGAGGAAAACATGACAACAATACCTCATTCGGTCACCTCCGCTTCTACAAATCACTGGGGAAATAAAATAACAAAAATGGTAAGGACAAAGGTTATCCCGCTTCTTCTGTGTTTGAGTTTATCTCAAAAGTGTGTCGCGGAAACTTGCGGGAATCGTGCTTTCTTCAGAAGATAACAAACGGTTCATTTTCCCCCAACACGTTCGCCATTTTGGTTTCCCGCTGATGATCGGGGAGTGCATTATGGGAAGCGTTTAAACTGCTACTGCTGTCGCTACTACGCTCACCTTTTTTCAAACATTTGAAAATGTAGGCAGGCCCTTTACAAAGCAAGGCATATCCGCCCCTTAAAGAAGATCAAGAACACTGCATATTTACAGCATTACTTATTCTGTAGGCAGTAGTGAAAAAAGTATTCAGATTTTTTACTTGAATACAAGTACTAATACCACACTGTAAACATACTACATTTCAAGTAAAATAACTGCATTGTACGGAAGAGGATTAGGGCCATATGAGAAGAAAATGGGATGTGACCAAAAGTTAAAAAAAATATTTAGATCTGAGTTTCAAAAAAGGAAAAATAAGTTCTGACTTTTTACCCAGAATTCTGAGATTAAAGTCAGCACGTATCCTCCTCCATAGAATCAAGAATGGTCTACTTAAATAGTAAAAGTGTTCAAGTATGATTAGGAACATTTATTTACAGTATTAGGAGTAAAAGTACTCAGAAAAAACTCAAAAAGATATTCAAAGGTAAAGCAGCAAAACTTCACATTTAAGAAGCTGGAACTGTGAAATATTTTGGAAGAAAAAACATCTTCTCAAAATGGTTGCAAATAATGTTTTTGTTAACCCACTTATGGTTATGACGATTTACATCATGTTGTATGGTTTAATCCAGTGGTTCTCAACTGGTGGGTCGCGACCCAAAAGTGGGTCGCGGACCCGTTTCGAGTGGGTCGCGGATGTGTGAGTGAAGAAAAAAAAGTTGAAAAAAAAAAATTGGAATTTTTTTTTTTTTTTTTTTTTGGGGAAAAAGTCAAACTTTTATTTTGAAGGCCCGGTTTTCTTCTCAGAGTGTACCAGAATGCGTAGTTTGTTAGTATTTCTAAAAATCTCCTGGGGGAGAATCCCCCCAGACCCCCCTGCTGGGGTTGGGTTTCAGCATGTGTGCCTTTTTATATAGTTCAGCTTTGATTCCATCATCTCATTAAACCTTTTTTAAAAGCATACTTTAGTTCTGTGAAGGGATATAAGGGATATATGCACTGTACTTCACTTTTATTAATATTGTATGCTCAAAAGCGTATACATTACAGCACGATTTTTTGTTGAATAGATTTGAATGCTTCAAAATGTTGGGTCGCGATGTATTGACCAAGTAAAAAGTGGGTCCCGAGGCATGACCAGTTGAGAACCACTGGTTTAATCTATACCTAATAATAATATTTTAAAGTGTTTCATTAGCAATGTGTGTCAAAATCTGAATTTATAAGCCAACTACTAAATACATCTGTAAAATAAATATAGTGGAGTGAAAATTACAAAATCGTCTTCCAAAATGTATAGCCTAGTAGGCTATAAGTATAAAGTTGTATCAAATTAAAATACTCGGGTAAAGTAGGTTACCTCAAATGTGTACAGTACTTGAGTAAATGTAGCCTACTTACTTTACCACTACTAGGTGTAGGTAAAATGTAAACTAACATGCCGGCATTATTGATCAACAGGTATTTTGGCAGATTTTATTTTTATTCTAGAAATTCACAAGTTCAACTAAGAAGTGCTACAACATCATGTAGCCAGTGAACTGTTGACAGGTCATGTTTTATCACGCTTTAGAAAGTTACAAAATCATCTTTGGTTTTATTTTGGATGTAAGACCGGAAGATGGGCTACACTACATCTGAATAGGGTAACAGATGAACTAATAATAATTAATAGATATTATAGTTACTGTATTAAACTTCTCCGGTAATAAAGGTACATTAAGAAAACATTAATCTCGTTCTTTCACGCTTTGTTTAAATATTCAAATGAGCCGTCGTCTTATTGTTTTCAATCCGTGTATCTACCGTCCAATTGTTTTTCTTTATTAAACAAGTAAACGGAAGAGCGTCTGAGAGGCCTTTTTGCTTTTTACCTTACTAAATGGTCTAATGGTCATAGAGAGGCGAAGTCCCTCCCCTTCCGGTGGGACTCATGGGACCTTATTTCGGAAAAAGTTTGTATTGAAGTCAATGGAGAGAGAAAGATTATCTTTCGATCCCGTTTGAATTGTGCCACGAATTACACATATGATGTTTGTCAATCTTAAATAATAATTTCCAGGTCAAAAAAGTCACAGTTTGTCGTAAAACTGTTGAAATATAAGACTATGAAAAATACGCAACTAGAAAGACTACAAATCCCAGAATCCCGGTCCCGCATGCTGGCTCTTATGGAACCTCTTTTAAAGGGGACCTATCATGCAAAATGCACTTTTGTACATCTTTTATACATGAATATGTGTCCCCGGTGTTCCAGGGAACTCACCAAGTGTCAGAAAACACAACCCTCTCTATTTTCCTCCATACCCAAATCTCTAAAAACTGATCCAGATTTGAACACTGTCCTGACGTCAGGACAGTGGCGCTACGGCTATTGGGCCAACTCCACCAATCAGGAGGAGACAGCCACGGCCATTGCCGTTCGAAAGCGCTGGAGACGCTGTAGTACATATGCCAGGCCAGTAGATGGTGCTGTTCTCACAGAATCAGCCCTTGCAAAAACAGAGCTTGAAATTGTCTAGCTATAGGGTATAAATACAGCGCACCGCATTGGGACGGCCTCCCCTCTCTCCGGCAGAAACAGGAAATGCCACAACTGTATGTAACAACGGTTTCAAATCAGCATCTCTTAGACCAACAATTTAAAATAAGAACTCAAATAAAACTCCAAACATCTTTAATTGTGTTACTTTTTCTGTAAAGCTCTATTAGTTTTAAACCTGATTTTTATAAGCTTCTTAGTTTTTGCAACAATCTGTAAATATACACAACTTTATAATAAAATGCACACATTTACCTTTTTCTAGACTAAACACAGGTATATGATCCTAAGTTAAAAAAAGATGAGGTTATCATGAGGTTGCTAACATCGCAGTTTATCAGTGGATGTTTGCTGGAACTGTTTGTAAACAGCGTGTTTCCTGACGGACACACACAACGTGACTCCGGTCAGGTAGAGACCAGGGGTGTTTCTCAATCGCGAGTAAAGCTGCTGCAGAGCCACTATTTCAAGCATACTACGTCATCGTGTGCCGCCGAAGTACTGTTCCAATCTCCAGCATACTTGGAAATCTACCGAGCCCGGCGTACTCCGTTTGGAGAAATATCGAGGCTGCACATGAGTAGACTCCGCGGTCTTAAAATCCCCACGATGCTTTGCGCATGGACCAATTTCCCCAAATCTGTGGCGGAAAATGTAAGGCGGGGCCTCTCATATGACGCACACCTGCACACTTGCTAGCGTGTTCCACTCTTCGTTTTCCGAATGCCAGGAAGTATTCTTGCCTCGCTTCTGAAGCCTCGATATTTCTCCAAACGGAGTACGCCGGGCTCGGTAGATTTCCAAGTATGCTGGAGATTGGAACAGTACTTCGGCGGCACTCGATGACGTAGTATGCTTGAAATAGTGGCTCTGAAGCAGCTTTACTCGCGATTGAGAAACACCCCGGTTGTCACTACCCGATCTGTCCCCCTGCCCGATCTGTACTGCGCATGTGCGAGATGGTCCGCCATATTGGACAACTACATACGGCAACTCTAATAGGACACTATATGCCATACATTTTTGCATACATTCACAGTAAATATTTATTCAGTATGATAGCTGTCTAACAGCTGGACAACCGTACGGAGTTGTCCAATATGGCGGACCATCTCGCACATGCGCAGTAAGGATCGGGCAGGGGGGCAGATCGGGTAGTGACACCGGTCTCCAGTCAGCACCGCTGCAGACTCGCTGTTTGAGGGCTTGATAACCCACTCCCCCTCCACACCGCTCCACACTCGTTGGTTTGGAACAGCACTTAATGTGGCGGACCCTCCGCGCGAACGCGCAAACGGAGGGGTAGTGTGTAGGGGGCGGTTTGGGATTGGGCCTTAGTAAGGTAAAAAGCAAAAAGGCCTCTCAGACGCTCTTCCGTTTACTTGTTTAATAAAGAAAAACAAATGGACGGTAGATACACGGATTTTATATGAGCAAGAAAAACGTATTTTGAGTCAACGTTCTTTAAAGATACGTATTTTAAGAAGAGAATGCGGGTGAAGAAAACAAATGTATCTAATCTTTTTTATTAATAATAATTATGAATAACATTTCTTAAAGGAGAGGTGTCATGCTTTTCCGGTTATTACCCGTCCCCTTGTGTGTTATGAAGGTTTTTATGCATGTAAACTAGAGATGGCAAATCCGGATCCTTTTACGGACTCAGGGTCTTCTGAGTCAGTCATTGAAGAGATCCGGATCATACGAGTCATTTGAGTCATATGAGTCAGCATCACCAAGACCGTAGAAATCCTATCGGTGAAACCGAAAAGTTGTTGCATTTCACGAGCATATTAAACTGACGTTATATTAACCTCCGCTACACAGTGTATTTTGCTTTCATAAAAAATGTTGATCACAAAAAAAAGGGTTATTTTGCGATTTGGCAAATCTGAGTCTGCTGTTGACTCGTGCATGAGGACGAGTCTGCTGGATCTCTGGATCTGCTGCTATATGGCTACGGCTCTGAGTCCGCACGAGTCTGCTCTGCTGTGTTTTGCACAGTGAGTCAGGATTTGCGAATCTGAGTCTGCTGTTGACTCGTGCATGACGACGAGTCTGCTGGATCTCTGGATCTGCTGCTATATGGTTACGGCTCTGAGTCCGCACGAGTCTGCTGTGTTTTGCACAGTGAGTCAGGATTTGCGAATCTGAGTCTGTGAAGTTCCGCTGACTAACTCGTAGGCTACTGGTCTCTCTCGATCATTGACCTGGATTCACGGATCCCGCGATTTTGATTAAGTCCATTATGTTTCCGGCTCTAAATGAAGTTTCAGTGTAGACTTCTAACAAAATTGTCATGTTGTGCAACAGTCTCCTGCGTGTAATAGCTGCATTTCCAATAAGGATCTTACTTGGCAAAACGTTTATTTTGAACATAGCACACAAAAAGAAACAAACAATGACAAATGATAGAAAATTGCAAAACAGTTAGAATATATAAAATGTCTTAATTATACAATTATTATTATTAAACATATAATTATATCTAATCATATGCCCCCCATATTTCCTCATGGACTGCGTAATCATTGCAATACTGGTGTTTGTATGTGTTAAATGTGTGTAAAGTGGTGTCTTTTGCTTTAATAAAACATATTGATCACAAAAAAAAGGTCATTTTGCGATTTAGCGAATCAGAGTCTGCTGTTGAATCGTGCATGATGACGAGTCTGCTGGATCTCTGGATCTGCTGCTATACGGTTACGGCTCTGAGTCCGCACGAGTCTGCTATGTTTTGCACAGTGAGTCAGGATTTGCGAATCTCTGAGTCTGCTGTTGACTCGTGCATAATATAGCCGCGAGAGCAGGGAGCCGGGTGCTGGAGGAGGGGCTATGCTCGTGCACATGACGAGTATGGATCTCTGGATCTGCTATGCTATTACGGTTAGGAGCCGTCGGCTCCTCTGAGTCCCCACGAGTCTGCAGGAAGTTTCACTGATCCGCGTCCCCTCCCCTGAGCCAAACGATCACTTCTGGCAGCTATCCTACTTGCTAAAGGGTAGGTAGATGGACTGGGGTACGTTGTAATGTGATTTTACATGTTATAAAGAGAGTAGCAAGTGACGCAATTTATAGTTTTAATTTGTACGTCACACCAAGTGTGGGACTCAAAGGACTCGGGTTAATGGAGAGGGGAGACTCGTCACGACCAGCTCATTTCTAGGATCCGGGTTAATGATCCGGATGAATCAGGACTCGCCCATCTCTAATGTAAATGGTGTGCAGAGTCAAAACCCTCAAAGTACACCCTATAGCGAGTAAAACTCTAACACAGAAAATACCTCCCCAAAACGCCTCGTTGGAGATACGTCACTGTCCATTTGATTCTTCCGGGTACGGCATGATGTCAACCCGTACCCGGAACGAAATGGACCAATCCGTGGAGCCGTTACGTTACGTCCGCGGAGCCGTTACGTTAAGCCCCCGCTGATTGGTCCAAATTGACCAATCCACGGACTTCCTCACACACACATCTGTGTGCAGGGAGCAGGCAGCTCAGCTGATTTCTCCTCCCTGGCTGCAGGCTGATAACAGACAGTTGGGATTGCGGCGAAATTCTCTCTGCAGACCCATTCTCACAGCGTTTATCAACCTTTTTCTTACTCAATATCAAGCCACACTTATTGTTTTTACTTCGGCTGTGTCTTTGTGTGTGCTCAGGATGAGTTTGGCTGTGTTTCGCTATGTATCCTAAACAAGGAAACAACACCTCCACGGAGCTCAGTGCGATTCACAACGTCCCGACCAATCAGAGCACACTGTGCTCACAGGGAGGGTGGGGGCTGGAGCTTTGGGAGCTACAACGAGCCGTTAAAGGCAGAGAGTGAAATTCAGTGAATACAAGTAGTTTACAGAGATGCTGTATGAGAAACCAATGTGAGTTTGGAAAAATGCACGGTATAAATCTATTTTAGTATACCTCAACAATGGAATTATGATCAGTGGAAATGGCCATGACACCTCTCCTTTAAGGCCTATTGCACGTTTTTTTTTTAATTGACGTTGTTTGTTGTCATTTAGAATTTCTACAGACGCAAATAGAAGTAAAAAAAATAGCCCAAACACATTTAAAAGTGATGCAGCATGAACAAGTTCGGTAGAGTTAGAAATAAATGATATTTACCTGTACGGTCAGTAGATCTTTCCTTGAACATTCAGGCTTTTATTGTGAAAGACCTAACGGAAGTTGGTCTTACTTCAAATGTGCGAACTTGACCCGGTCATAGCTTCAGTGGAGCAACCACACATTACTCACACATAATGACTATTAAAACAGCGCACTGCTGAATCCACGCAGACACACATTCCGCCAGTTTGGATGACTACCTGAAAACTCGTAAAACGTTATTTATGTAGACGACTGAGTTGCGCGTGCGCCGTGATCCTACGTTTCCCCCCAGCTTGAGGTAACGCTATGTTGCTTGGCTTTAAAACCAGCAGCTGCACCAGGAGCAGAGGCGCAGACCCAGTGCAACATCAGAGCGAGTCACACGGGGAGGACAGCACCACAGCTCCCGGCAGGGGATCGTAGCGGGGCTCCAGGCGAACATGCAGCCATTTCTGTAGAAAAACGACCTTTGCGTTTTTTATATGGAGGGCGCACTCATGTGGATGATCTCCCACAGCCAGGTCCACGCAGTGAGATGATCTATTTTTGTGATGGCGAAGGGTCTGTTTCCACGGGCCTGGGTGAAAAAGTCGTTCTACTTCCAGGTAATGTCACTGTTTGATCATTGATTTTTGATTCGGATTATGTGTGGGGGGTGTTTGCATTGAGATCCTGTGTATAATGTGGGGGTCTCATCAGACTGACAGCTGGCAGCAGCTCCTCCCTGGGCCGCCCTGATGCCTGGCTGTTTGAGCATACCTGAGGAATGTGTCTGCTTATTAAAGCTTAAGTTGACCGTCTCCCTGCAAAACCTGAATGGTGAGTGCATAGCAGAGCTCAGGCCTGCCACTGAGGGTGTGAATAGCATGTGAGGAGGAACTGCTAATCCATGCCAACACCACTACCCAGGCCCGGGAAGGATTTCTGTTTGCATCACTTTATTTTATTTTCCTCACAGAGAAGATGGCCAGACTTCCACTCACAGTTGTTTCATCACCTCTGATAGTGCCAGAGCAGCAATAATCCCTTTTGGGTTCCAGTGGTTTACTGCCAGCCACTCCTCCAGTACAGTAAGGAGATTAATTTATGAATGAGTACAGGGTTGCTTTTGTTCTAGTGAAAAGTAAACATATTGCCACATTACAACATACAGCACAGACTGTGTATCACAACTCTGTGCCCGGTCTAAAGTCCATGGACTACAGTAGAGTTCAGGAGGTGATGGCCGGGCTGATTGAATCTGGCTTCAGACAATATTTAACTACACCGGCCAGGGTTTCAATTAGGCTACTCTACTCTGTACACACTTAGACACACACAAACACACACACTCTTTGTAGAAGTGGTATATTTTAGTCCTTTCTATACATATAAAAAGCATCACTATTCTTTTTTATGTTGCTGCGTATTTTCTTAGGGTTGTTTTCGGTTCCTGTTTTGGTGCAGAGTATGTAGGACAAGGACACATCTGGCTAAGTATATTCAGTGTTGATATAATATTTGAGCAAAAGTGTTTATTTTTGTTCCCTACTGACTTTTAAATCAATATTAAGACAGTAAGTGCTGTCATATTGAGTTAAATAAATAAAACAAATACATTATTTTAAGTGACTCTGGAATAGATGAAAGGAAAGACCTTTAAAATCTATTTGAGTAATAGAAATACAAATAAGGACCTTAATAAAGTATGAGGAAATTAAACTCTAAGGCAAAGTAATTACGTAAAATACACATTACTAGAATTGAAATAGGATGCAATAAAAGATGGATATTGCCCTAAGGATAATGTGACGTAGGTTTTAAATTATTTGCACGTTGTTCCATGTCAGGTACACAAGGAAGAAAAACTGTAACCAGCACTTGCAACACAATCCAAACATTAGAGAGGGTTCCATAAACTGCTGCTGATACTACATCTAAAGGGAGTTTGTTAGACGTGCTGGTTAAGGGCAACACACCAACCTGTGTTTGTATCACAGTGTGTTCAGGGACATGGTGTCTGGTCTACAGGGTTATCTGAATCACTGTGCAAAGTAAACCACAGACCGTTTTATTTCCATTTTCCGGATTTCATCAGGTGTTCCATGTTTTATTTATACTAACATTATCTATTTTCGCCTACATGTGTTGCCTACAACTTATTTTCAGGACTAAACTCTGCGTCCCCGTAACCTCTGAACATTTGTCTGACTCAAGCAGGACAAAAAGGCGTTTGATTTCCACAGTTCTTTTATAGTCCGGGTTTGATAAGTCACATGAAACTACTCTTACAACTACTGCTACGGCTACTGCTTCTGCTACTATTACTACTACTACTTCTACTTCTACTGCTACTGCTACTACTGCATTGGTTTCAAATAAACCAAACATTAATAGTAGAGAAGTGAGAATTGGTATTGGCTAACTTGCCAAATGGATTGGTTTTCACTCTGCATTGAAAATATGTAGACTTTCAGCTGTCCTGTTATCAATGGGGAGCTCCTTCCACCATTTTGGGGCCAGTATAGCCTACAGGTGTTTTTGTTGAAAGGGTACCTGGGTGCCACTCGCAGTGAGGGAGAAGCGAGCCGATTGGCCAATGAGGGCTGTGTGCACATGCTGGAAAGTATGGTTCCACAATGTCCTGGATGTTTTTAGATGGACTTCTCTATCAGTGCTTCCCAATGTGGGGGTCAGCAGGGCCGGTCTTTGGCATAGGGCGGCAGATCTGGGTGGGCGCTGCGCTGGTAGTTCTGGGAGGGTTTAGATAGTGCACTGTAGTCTAAGTTATCTCAGTGGCGGCTGGTGGAAAATATTTTAGGTGGGGCTGTGGAAATGGTGATCGAACAATACTAGGGGGCTTTTTTTGAGAAAAGACCCCCTAAATTATGACTTCTGGTGATGTTAGAGGGGGAGAGGGGGGGGGTGGAAGGACAATTTGAGGCTTAAAAATATGAGAAGACTGATCAATACCTCCATAACTTCAGTGTGGTTAGCTATGAATCTTCCAAAACTTCCAAACACCTTGTCCTGGACATAGTTTCTACAGCATAAACTGTGCTAACAAGCTGAGATTCCACAGATTCTAGAAATATAAGTATCATCACTGAGCGATCAGAACTCGCGACAGGGGAAGCAAATACAGACATCACACGACGTAGCTTTAGGTAGCAAAACACGGAGATATGCTCACTTTTTGCAGAATAACAATTCTGATCAAAAACAAGAAAAATGCAGCTGAAGGTTAATCCATAGGTTAATCCAATGTGTCTGTCACTTTGAAAAAATGATTGATGATCCATAATTCAATTTTTATGTCAAAAACGGAGTTTTCATTAGCTGCTAATGGTAGCTTCCAGAGTGTATGACAGCTTCCTGTTTTGTCTCCTTGGATACGAGTCCAAACAACTCACAGACTGCACCGGGCGCTCACGTAGGAGCCCTGTGACCATCAGATTTGACGACGCTGATTGGCTGAAATTATGTTTCGGCGGCATAGTTTAAAGATAGCAACAGTTGGCTTCTGCTGCACTTGCTGCACTCTCGTCTGGGCGCTGTGCATAGCGCCCAGACGAGAGGGAGTAATGATACACGGGCAAGGCCAGGCAGGAAACATGTGATTTATCAGTAACTTTAGACATCGTAACACAATTTTAAACGAGATTTTATTGTAGATTATACATTTTACTGATACCAATTATATAATATTTACCTTGTAAAAATATTTTTTAAAAATTTATTAAAAATAAAAAATAAATATATATGTTTTAAATATATATATATATATATATTTTTTTTTAATGTGGGAAGAGGGGGGGCGGCGCCCCTATGGGCCGGCCGCCACTGCTCAGTGGGTCTCAAACGGTTTGGTCACAATTTATGTAAACAAATATTTCCAAGGCACACCTTTATAATTATTAGGATAAATAACAACAGGTTTGAAATCATTCCAATGCATACTATAGGACAGTAAACCAAAAATATCGTTTAAAACTAGAGAGATTAAAAAATATGCATGAATAAATTAATGTTAACTGGTAAAATAAGATATGAATGAACAACAAAAATAAAATACGTTTCATGTATTTGTTATTGGCTATGGTAGGTTATTGGTTATTTTCACATACTTATTTGGTTATTAAAATGTAAACCGATCTTTTTCATATGGGTGTTTTAGAGTTGTACCCCCTAGATCTAGTCTCTAGTAATTCTGCTCAAAGTGCACCAGATTGAAACATTTTACTTTCAAATGTTAAAAAAAATCTTTCCGGGGGGGTATACCCCCAGACCCCCCTAGAGGATGTGACGTCCACCCCTCAATTAAAACATGTTCATACAATAATGAATACATTTGAAACCTTCTTTATGTATATAACCAACATGTCAATACGTTTCAGTTTTTGTAGTGTATTGGTCTTTTGTAGAGATTTTTCATTTATTCTTTATATATTCTATTGTGTATTGCTTGGAGGGGGGGGGGGGACACCAAATCATAATCTCGCCTAGGGCACCAAAATGTCTAGGACCGGCCATGGGGGTCAGGACCTACTTTGGGGGTTGCCAAAGCTTCAGGGGGGGTCACAAGGTCTTGTTTATCCTGGGTAACTAGACCTACCTGTTGACAGCTCGACAGTTTGCACCACAGGCTTTGTGCTATGTGGACTTTGCACATTTAACTCGATGGTAACATTCTTCCTGCCTGCACCAACAAGCTCCCTCTTTCATCAGTGTTATTATCTGCTCTGCTGCCTCAGCTGTGTTACTGCTCATTTACTTTAGGGGAAGAGGTTTTGTTGTTAAAGTATTCCACTTTTCTTAAATTGTAACATTTCTATTCCTTATAATAGCCTATGTACTTGACCTATTCAGTTCAACTTCTGGGCCATTTGTATACACTTTATACTACACTTAGTATTAAACTGCTATTTTGACACTTCAATCAGGAATCAATTCAGTTTATCTAATGTTATCTTATGACTCTTTTCCACTGCAGGACCTAGCACGGCTAAGGACAGCTTGGTTTGGCCTTGGTAGGCCAGGCTCACTTTGCGTTTCCATTACAGTTTAGTAACTGGGGTAGTTACTATAGTAACGCAGTGTAGGCGCTAGGCGGGATGATCGGCTATTCGGCGACGCTGCGTAAAACTGCCGTGACGTCATCTTCAATGCGAACCACAAAACCAAAACATCCACCGTTAGCTGTTAGCACTCAGAGCTCACAGCTCCTCATATCTGTTCAGAAACTAGACAAAAGTTAAACAAGTACAAACCACAGACTGTCTGTGTCATGGCGAATACGGTCGCTGGTTTATGTCTGTAGGCCGTTGTTGTGAGTGTGGACGGAGCATATACAACGTTAGCTTAGCCGATCTCCATTCAGAAAACACGCATTTTAAAAGGTTTTATCGCCTGCCGTCTTGTCTGCAGACCGGTATCAGTATGTTGTTACTTCGGCATCATTTTTGAAACGTGTATTACAATTAAATCACGGTAAAATATGTTCATTTTGTTGTAGATGTAGCCCCCTTGCCAGCGATTCTCTCTGACCATTCAGCAGTCGAGTGTTTACGTCACTAGTTTAGCATATTGGCCCGGTTGACCTCGATTTTGGAGGGCCAGAAAAAAG